TTACAACAGCCATTAGCTTTATCTATACAACTAATTTTAAATCCTCCTCACCTCCAGGGTATTTGCCTGAGCCACAACACCTACAAGATGCAGCCCTGGCCTCTGCCCTCCTCTGAGCTGTGCCTGGGCACCAACTCCAAGCGCTCTCTGATGCAGACTAACACAATGCCAATGAGTGTAGCAGCTAAACAAAACAGGTCATGTTCAAGTCCATGCCACGGTCCTGCCAAGTTTATTGATGCAGAAGGACCCTTGGAAGTCTTCACAGGCATGCTCTGAACCGACAGGGGAGGAGTTAGCTCCAACTACCTATTAACTTCCCAAACCATCTTCAAAAACAGGGAGTTTTGCCATATTATTGAAAGAAGTGCCATGTGTCCTTGCCAGAGCAAAGGTCAACTGCTATCTAACTAAACTCAAACAAATGCTTGGCGAGGAAGAAGCATGCAAGGGAATGCTCACACATGGTTAAGACTATGCATAAGGTCCAGGCTAAGAAAAAGGATGGGTTGTCAACAAACCCCAGGAGCCAAATTTACATTAGCAAATGGGAAAGGATGGAGCAGCAGGGAAAATTACTGACACTGCTTCACATCCCTGCAACACCCAGAAAGAAACAGCCTGTAAGCATGGGAATCCCTCACAGTAGAAATAAATTATCTATTTCATTTGTTCCACAATGAGGGGTTAACTGTGATGTAAAAGCCCACTGATCTGCAGAGGCACCGAATCACTTGTGTTCAGCAGGAAACATTTGCAAAGCACAGCAGCTTACGGACCAGCTCCAATCTTCATTCCACTTTGTTCTGCTATGCTGACATAGAGGAGAATTTGCAGAGAGAAAAGAGGGAAGAAAAGAAAATCAACCCAGACTTCATTACTTGATACTGAAATTTCACGTAGGGTGAGCTGGGGTCCCCCCTCCTCCTCCTCCTCCTTCCCCTCAGTTTTATCAGTCAGCTCATTATCCCCTATCACACAGCCCTGCACAGGGGAGCAGAGACCCGGGTGAGGGGCCATTAGCTGCCACCTACAGCTAATAAGTAGCTCTGTAACTCAAGCATCCTCCCTAGGCTCTGCACACACCACAGGGCTGTTGCTTTTTTGATCCCCCAAGGCAACAAATGCAAGGAGCTGAAAGGCTGCCTTTTATTCATGTCAGTCTTCCACAGCCCTACTAGAGACTTCAGATCTAGATTTTCCTATTTAAAGAACCTTAAACAGTGAAATGGACAGAAATCCCTGATGAGTTTCTCCTGACTTCCCTAGGTCTTGTGACAGTAGACATACTTAGAGAAGTATCTTTGGATACATTTCTTGAGATGCTGGCAACTAACTCTGTCAGCTCAAGGGAGAAGATGAGATTAGCGTCATCACAGATGATGAACACGGTTTAGAAACAAAAAATAGGGAATGTAATCCTGAGCACAAGAAGCACAATTTTTTTTTTCTTTTTTGCTTGTTTGTTTTTAGCAAGAACAGTTCTCTCCGAATCATGAGTCTCTGAGAAAGGAACCAAAACACGTGCAATTACATCACAAAACTCAACATCCACTAGCCAATTCTGTATTTGTTTGCTATTTATTATTCAAAGAATCCCTTATTATTATTTCTGTTGGCATAGTGTCTTGGAGCCCAAGTTCAGGATCATGACTTTAATGAGAAAAGCCCTATGGAAACTCAGGACAGAAAGATTGGCTCAAAAATCTTGAAAGCTAAGTACATAAAAAACGTATACTTTCTGTCTATAGTAAGTGCAATGGCCATCCATGCAGTTAGTACTTTTTCTTCAGCCTAACAATTTTTTAAATGCAAGGGATGGACTAGTTTTAGACAGTTTGTTTTAGTTTTTAGTTTATGAAAGCAAATATCRCCAAAGCTAAGTAAAACTTTTCCACAGCTGCTTTATTTTCCTGGGTGACATACACTTTTAAAAATGAAACTTTAAGTAAACAAGAAGTATCCTTTTTTTTTCCTAAGCTTTCCCTATAGTTAGCTTTGCTGTAGAACAGTTTGTTGCACAGATATTGAGGATACCAAAAGTATAAAAGCATTAAAAAAGTGCTTGTAGATTGTAGACATCCATGTAAAAAAAAGGATCTCTGAAGGTGATTACATACATAGGTACAGCTAGAAATTCACACTTAGAAAGTCCCCAAGCTTCAACAAGATGAGAGGACATATCAGGTAAAGAATCATTGTATTTGCCTGGCCTTCTTTTCTAAATCCCCACTGCCAGCTCTTCTCAGAGAGAAGCTAATGGACTTAGAAGGACCTCCTGCCTGACCTAGGATGACTGTTCCTACCTAAAAGAAAACAATAAAACCTGCTTTGAAAAAACAAAATAGGATTTAAGTTGCTACCTATAACAATTAAAATAGAAAAGCTTCTTCTTGCTGTCGTCAAAGCTCTTGCAATGGAAGGTCAAGATGTCATTGCACTGAATAGGGGGGCAGCTTTGCCCAAAAATGCATGATTTCAAGTTAAGCCACAGTTCAACAAAACCAAAAGAATACACAAATCATGAAACTGTAGCTGTAAGTAATTCCCAAGTGTGATGTGACCAACATACCATGGAAAGCACACGGTCCTAAGGGAATATTTGAAGGAGGAAGTGGAGCAATATCTTGCTTTCACCGTGACAATCCATGTCTGTGCACACTGTTTTGAGAATTACTAGAAAATTTTTGTCCTTATCAATGTCACTCAGCATTTTTACGTAGGAGAAAATCCTTTTAAAAGGTTTATAAGCACTATAGAAAATCATGTACTAAACCGTGTACTAAATTGTCAGTTCTAGAGCAGTGCTTCACATCCCCTTTGAAGTGACGATAATGGCATCAGTCTGAGGCCAAAAGCACATTACAGACCAAATACAGGTTAATCGTAAACAGTCAACTCTATTTACAAGGAGCAATGGACTGAGTGGGACTGTTTTTCTCAACCTGTGCTATCTATCCTTAATGTCACTTGCACTATAATTAAAATGTCATTCATCAAATCAAACAATAGCAGGAGATGTGCTTGAGTGGGGGCAGAGGGAGGAGATGACTCTCTTTGCTAATGCCAAACACCACAAAAGGAAAAAACTTTTTCAGCTCATAAAAACTAGGATTTAAAAAGCCTTCAGAAGCCCCAAGCAACCACCTCAGACAGGGCCTGGCACACACCCAGTGATCCAGGGTGTCTGTCTCTGGTGAGATGATGAAACTACAATATGCCTGTGTGCACAATGCAGGGAATTGTTAGGGCTGCTACATGTGTGGGTAACTACTTTGCCTTTCTGTATAACAAAAGGTGCAAATGAATTTCTGCCACCTTCAGCTTTTTAAAGCATTTGTGGCATAAAAGCTTGAAATGATGTCAGAAGAATGGTTGCATTTTTAGTCTGCTTCAAAAATGAAAATGCATATAATCACACACCCAAGTGAACGACGAACATCATAATCTGAAAGAAGGGGTAATCAAAAGTTACAAACTAGCACCTGGTGTCATGTTTTGTGCACAGCTTAAGAACATAAAAGCAGAGCACAAAGCACTGTTTGCAGMCATGGCTCCTGTGCGGTGTTTGGTCTCCTCTCCTGGAAGCAACTGTGGGGCTTTGCTGAGAGCAGAGGCCCTGCTCTGGGCACTGGATGTGAGGGAGGGAGCAAAACCATKTGCTGCTTGGGACAGCAACAAGCAACCCTCAGTTTCAGACAGTCCTGAAATGCGCAGTGCTGTAGAAAACTCCCTTATTTCCTACCTGTCCCTTAGACACATGAGGGAAAACAGCAGCTTGTGAGGGCCACCTGAAGGTGACGAATGGGTCCGTGACTTGGTGGGTAGCATGGCTGAACAGCACCTATGGCTTCGTCACAGGTGGTCAGGTACATCTGTGACCCATCTAAGGAATGGCAAGGAATCACTAATTACAAAATCCCGCCCTCCACCGAAGGCACTGCTCTGTCAATTGGTCTTTTGCCATTGCAGAAGAGTCAAGGACATATTTCTCCACCTCTGCACGGCATTACCTGAAGCCTGCCACCTCTTCCTCCCAACCCAKTCATAACATTTCAGAGGATGATGACAATCTCCTCCATAAGCAGGAGCTTTGGAGCATCCAAAATGCTACAGAATACGGATGCTTTCCATTCCCATTATATTCCCTTACAGACTGTTCCCATTTCCCCCCACCTTGGGCAAAAGACCTAGATTGAGACAACCAAGAAGTCATCCTTCCAGCCAAACTTTGGGGTACATCAGGGCATCCCCAGGATCCTGCTTGTCCTCAGAACCATCTCCTCAGGAGAGGACCAAGGTGGTGGGACTGGCAACGGGATGCGAGGACTCGCGTTGGTGGCCCCCACGGCATGAGGCACTTTGGGGGGGTCTGTCGGGGCTGCGCGTCCCCTGCCCCCCACCCAGCTCGCTGCCTCCCGGGCGGGGGGCGAGCAGCGGGTACCGGGGGCGGCTCCAGCGGCAGGCGGGCCGAACCGAACCGAGCCGAACCGAACCGCCCCCCGGCGCCCTCCCCCGACGGCGCCGCCGCCCGCGCCCCGCTCCGCCCCGCGCCTCCCGGGACACGCGCAACTTGCGCGGCCGGCGCAGGGCACGGGGGGCGAGAAGGAGCCGCGGGAGCGCAGCCCGCACCGCGCCGGCGGAGTTTTACCGCCGCGCTCGTGCCTCCCGCTTTCCCTAACCTTTTTATCCTTTTTT